GAGGCTTACACGCGCCCGCTCCTAGATGATGGAGATCCCGGGTGCATAGCCCTCGCGGTGGGAGTATATCGGCACGGTGGTCTTGTTGGTGTTTCTGGACCAACGCGCGAGAGACCGTCGTTCGCCATGTATCTCAACCACTACATCTTGCATCACAGTATGCAAGCCGGTCATCATCTCCCACAGTGGAGTAGCGTTCAGCTTACCAACAGAGGCGCAGAGGCCCATAGAGACCTAGCGAACACTCCTGGCTCGCATAACTACACTATAGGTGTGGGCGAGTATCGTGGAGGCGGCCTATGGGTGGAAGAAGCCACGGGTACAACCCCCGTGCGTGTTCAAAACACGACAATGTATGGCACCGTCCACGATACTAAGAACAAGGTTCTTAAGTTTCGCCCGAAGGACGTGCACATGGTCGCACCGTTTGTAGGAGAAAGATACAGTCTCTCCGCATACACGGTGAGTGATCTCGGCAAGTTGTCTAAAGATGACATACAGCTTTTGTCGGACTTAGGCTACCCCATATATAGGGATGCGCCCAACACCTTTGGCAGGAAAGGCGATGGGATATACACCATGGGTCACTCTGATCTTCCCATCGAGACGTTCCTAGAACGCATCCACGAGTACGGGATTAAGGAAATCATAGATTGCAGAAGCCATCCGTACAGCGTTCGGCATCCACAATACAATTGTGATGAGCTTTCCGCCACATGCTTTGCAAAAGGGGTTGTGTACAGTCACGCCCCCGAGTTAGGCAACAGGAATCGGGGCGGGATTGAAGCCAACCTGCAAACAGACCAAGGGCTCTGTACGATCGCTAGAATAGTTAGCGAGGCCCACGATGACTTCCACCGAATACTTCTGTTGTGTTCGGAGGCCAGTTGGCGGCGATGCCATCGGCGAAATATCGCCCAGCACATATGGCTCGAGCATTCGAAACTTGCCGAGCACATACGTGCTAACGGACTGCCAGAAGCCCATCCGTGTCACTACATTCCTGAGGAAGACGACGGACTGGCAGCAGCATCGCACACAGCTGCGATTGGCACGACTGTGCCAGCAGCTGAGCCCTCGGATAGTCGAGCGGCGGAATCCAAGGCCTTTGCTCTCACCCCAGATGGGGAAGACGCCATCGGCTCTAATGTCGATGCTGGCTACATGGCCTCGCTCCTGGATTACCACAAAGCCCCTGTCGAAGTACAGCTGGGGCTGGATGCTGCCATGAAAACTGAATGGCAGAAGTACACTGAATTCAACGCAGTGGTCCCTTGCACAGACAAGGAGTTCAAGGAGCTTACAAAGGCTGGCCACGTGTGTATCCCCACCAAATGGGTCCTCACCGATAAGAATGAACACCTAAAGGGGACGCCAGCATACACTCCCAAGTGGAAAGCACGCTTGGTCGCATGTGGAAACTTCGAGCATATCTCGAATGAGGAGGATATCAGGGCAGACAGCCCCACGGCTGAGCCGGAAGGCATAGCCCTTCTGTGTTCATGGGCGGTTTCATTGGCCCTGCGGCTCAAAGCAGCCGATATAACGAACGCATACTTCCAAGGGAAACCCCTTGAGCGCCTTCTCATTCTTCGGGTTCCTAAACACCCTAAGGGTGTACCCGATGCAGAGATTCAGCGAGCCGGGCATATGATTGCCCGAGTACCCGTGTATGGCACGACCGACGCGGGTCGGAACCTTTATCTCCGTATAAAGGAGAGTGCCCGAGAATTTGGCTTAAATGCCTCGCAAATTCTGTCAGCCCTGTACTATATTACAGGAGAAGGTGGTCGTTTGTGTGCTTGCTTGTGCACCCACGTGGATGATTTCCTGTGGGCTGCTACCGCCGAAGGCGAGCCGGCTATCCAGAATCTGCTGGATAAGTTTAAGATCGGTCGCATAGAGACTGAGAAGTTCCGTTTCTGCGGACGCGAGTATGTGCAAAGCGCCGATGGGACCATCAGTATAAACTGTAGGGACAACACGCGTGCAATTCGCCCGATCGATATACATAAGTCTGAAAAGGGCACGACTCCAGTCTCGAATGGCCAGCGCACAGCGTTGAGATCCGTCATAGGATCGCTGGCTTGGGTGGCCCGCGCCACGAGACCTGATCTTGCCTATAGGGTGAATGCCCTGCAGCAGCGTGTTACGACAGCCACGGTGGATACACTCCGTGAGGCAAACCGCGTAGTAGCACTGGCGTTAGGAGATGCGGATAGGCCGATCACGTACAGCGCTAAGTTACCCTGGAATACAGGAGAGCTGGCGATTGTCACGTTTTGCGACGCCTCCTTTGCAGGAGAGGCAAACCATAAGTCGCAGAGAGGTCGTTTCCACTACCTCACTTCCGCACAGTCGGCGGTGGACAAGAACGCGTCAACGCATGAGATGCACCTCATTTCGTTTTCCTCGTCCACCATGAAACGGGTTTGTCGCGCCACACTCCAGTGTGAGGCTTACTCGTTGCAACATGCCATAGAGCATGGAGACCGCATTCGAGCAGCAGTGCTCGAACTGCTCGGCAAATTGCCCCGGTCACAGAACTGGGAAGAAGTCGCCAAGAGATCGATGTTCCACCTGCAGTATACGGACTGCAGGTCCCTCTCGGATCACTTGACTGCGTCGATTCCAAAATCATGCGAGGATAAACGCCTTGCCATAGAGATGTCTGGACTCCGCCAAGGACTTTGGGAAGAGGACGAGCTAACGCACACCTTGTACCATCCTTACGGCGACGAGTTGAGATGGATACCGACGCATTTACAACTTGCGGATTGTTTGACTAAGAGTATGAAACCGCTTCTGATCAATCACAGCATTGATCGCAACCTCGTTCAGGTGCTCGATGTGCCCGCGCAAGCCGCACAGAATACCGAGAGTACCGAAAGCACTCCGCTTCGCGATTGAAGAACTCAGCCTGGAGCCTTGAGTCGCCGCACTCGGCTCGGTTGACTGCGCAAGCTCCCGGTATAATCCGGTGGAGTAGGCTTGGCCCAAAGCGGTCATAATTCGAGCATGATTCGGACGTCACACTACAGATAAGACGGGTGTGAAATTTCCCTGTCTTGAAGCGCCGTGTTGACCTGTCCTCATGCGAGCGTAGTCTTTTGAGTTAGATCTGAATGCACCCTGTACGACAGACGTCTTGGGCTCAGACCAAAAAGTGCGCTCGTAGTGTGGTTGGACACTCACTAATCCAGTTCCTGCTTCAAAAGGGTATAGGTTTAGGATTCGTTTGCGCTGCCTTAAACAGCTGAGCTTAAAAGAGTTTACTGACAGTGTCACCGACAGTTCTCTCCAAGCCCCCTACAGTCTCAGAGCCCAAAACCCGCATCTGAGCTTGAGCGTGTGGTCGCTGGTGCAAGCATTGGCCATCTCTGCACCCTTGATTATCATCAAGTCCTTGACAGAAACTTCGCGTCCAGGGCTGCATTGGTCAGGCAGCTGCAGTCTTTGCCACGCGTGGTCGTTATTGTGCTTAGCAAGTGCTCGACACGTGGGCTTATACAGGTTTTTTCAGCGAGTGTTGACGGCATCTGGCTACAACATTTGCGACATCCCTGCCCTGTATATTCCTGGCCCGAACAAGGCAGAGCGGATGTATCGAGAGCTTCGGCAGACTTCACTAGCATCCATTGCTGTCACGCGCTGTGACGATAAGCGTGGGATAGTTGAGGGCTTCGATCTCCTGGTCTTCTTATTCCTGGGCTGGGGCTCATTGTGCTTCATAAACCCCTTAGAGAAGGGAATGACCCCTAGACGACCCTATGAAGCTCTGTTGAAACCCGTCTGAACCCTTAAGTAAGTAGTTTTCCTTAACGGATTTCCTTTGAGGATTCCTTAGGTCAAATGCAAGGCGCTCCAAGGCAATGTGGGAACCTGATTAAGAAACCTTGGGCCTTTATTAGGGTTCCTTATATGAACCCTACTATTTTGGTGTTATAGCGCCAGGGTTTCTTAATCAAGTTCCTACATTCAGTCCTGATATGGGAATATCCGAAAATTGGGCTATTAATAAGGATCCTACTATTTAGGGTCCCATATTGGGGTGCCACAATCAGGTTCCGTCCCCTACATCACAGAAGCCTAAACGTCCCAATCTCCAAGCTTTGTCTTGTCGAAGCCTCATCGAAATCCAATTCCAAAGCTTCTAAATCCTAAACCCAGAACCCTAAGCCCTAAACCCTAAACCCTAAGCCTTAAACCCTGAACCGTACGCCCTAAATCCTATATCCTAAAAGATACCTTCTTGAGCCCATCCAGAACCTCAGAGTGCCTGATTGAGAGTTTCCGAAGCTTCATATCAAGGGCCCCAAAATAAGGGTTCCCCTAAAGACCCCTGTAAAGGGATCCTTATAGTACCCTCATAGTAACCCTTGCAAGGAAACCTTACATGCCCCGATTTTTCGGTAGCTCCCTATCTAGGATGCCCAGTAGTACCCTTATTCCCTTTTTGTAGTCCTAGGTTCCTTATAAACTTACCCAATACCAAGAAGAGAGGCCTTTTTTTGCTTAGGTTACTGGGTATCCTAGCTATTGAATCCATGCAGAACCCTCAGATGTCAACTCCCAAGGCGAGGCCTCAGAGTCCCTAGTTGGAGGGTCTTTAGGGGACTTGGTAAGCTCTCTTTTAAAGGGGATTATAATAGGGTTCCTTTAAAGGGCTCTATAAGGGTAGTAAGTAAGTAGGTAGTAAGTAGACTTACAAGTAGCCCAAAAGGGACCCTCATTGGGGTTCTGGTACTTATACGTCCTTAAAATAACCAATTACTAAGTCCCCCGACCCTCCAAGTAACCTAGGGGCCTTAATAGCTAGAGTAGGGTTCCTTTAGAGGGGTCCTTGAAAGGGGTCTACAGGGGAGCCATAGTAGGGTTCTATATTAGGGGCCTCAATAATTGGAATCATTATACTATAGTCATAAGAAGGAAGCCCCAAAACAGTATTGGTAATTTTTTAGGCCCCTTTTTCGGAGCATCGGAAGCGGAAACGGAGCAAGGCGCTGGGAGGCGTCCTCTTCATCGATGAGGCCACGGCATTGTTGCCAGTGGTTGTTTCATACGGGGGTCTAGGAGTTTAGGTGGGAGTTTCCGAAAATAGGGTACCTTGTTTTGGTGTCCCGACTACTCAGGGTACTATATTAGGGTCCCCCATTTTCGGAAACTCCCAGGTAAGGGGGGTCAGTGGGTTTAGTATGGTCAGGTTTAAGTTTTGGTTCAGGCGCTTCCACTTTGCTTTTAGGGTGTAGGGTTTAGGCCTTGTTTAGGCTTCGAGTGTGTGTCTGTATGTGTCTCCTTTGTGCGTAAGTTTGTCGAATTCCTGCTTCGACAACTCTCTCAGCATGGATTAAGAAGTTGAGTCGGAGTTCAATTGCCATTCATGCGCCTGCGCACCCACGGCAAAGGCCACCCAGAACTAAATAAAGCCAGCTCTCTTACGCACTGCCAACATGTATGAGCTGAGCTTCGCTCGTTGCATCGTTACTTTATGCAGATTAGCAGATCATCATAGGGAGTGCCTTCATGGCTGCTGGATCAAGACGGTGCGTGCCAGAAGGAGCGCAAGTCAGAGGGAGTTGCTCCAATCCTAAACCCTGGACCCAAGCGTCTAAACCTCTGACATACCCTGAAGCTGCATACCTATATTTGTATATGCATGGTATACAGACATACATGCATACACACACACACACAACCTAAATATAGATATGCATGTACAGATATATATATATATATATATAGATATATACCAAACGAAAACAGCATGCAACCTCATATGTATATGTATATATATATATATATCCACATGTGTCCATGCTCTACAGGCTTACGCCCTGGTTGGCGAAGACGGCCGCGACTCTTTTGGCCGGGAGGCCCTCGACACGCTGATCAAGCTCGTGGAGGCGACGCTCCGTTCCCTGAGAGGGGTTTTAGGGCTTAGGGCTTGGGAGATAGTTTAGGGTAGGGTTTAGGGATGAACACGGTTTAGGCTTTAAGGCTTAGGGTATATTAGGATACAGTTTAGGGCTCAAGGTTTATAGGGTTTGAGGTGCAAAGGGTTCAAGGTTGATAGGGTTTATAGGGTTCAGGGTTAAGGGCGGTGTCTAGAGACTCTCGCAGTGATCAACATCCTCCGACTCAGAACCCAGAACCCTAAAACCCCAGAGGCGCGAAGCCCTAAACCCGCCCCTCCCCCCCAAAAAAAGGTAGGACAGACCCATATCGAACGCCAAAGCCGAAACCTGGAATCCCGAAGCCCTAAGCCCTAAGCCACCGTGAGGACTACCGACAGGATCTGGTCGGGCACTCGTCATTTGGGGGCCGATCGGCAGAGGAAATCTTGAGCTCGGACATGATGTACTCATAGGTTTAGGGTCTCTGGGTTTAAAGTTTTGAAAGTTTTAGGGTTTCGAGTTTAGGTGTCTGTGGATCTAGGCGCCGGTTTAAGTTTAGGATTCGTGGATGCAGGGGATTCAGGGTTTTTGAATTTAGCCATGGAGCCGTCTTGGAGATTTAAGTGCAACTGGCCTAGCTGTAACCTAAAGGACAGGTATACATCTACGCCAAGTGTAGGTCCTGTACTATATCTTCCAGCGGGCCTTTCTTCGTTTTTGTGGTCTTAGGTTCCTTATAAACCCACCCTATACCAAAAAGGGAGTCCTTTTTATTTCCTAAGTTGCAGGGGATCCTAGCGCAAATAGGGCCATCTGCGCTAGATTTGAGCTGCAAGTGCACTCCTGACTAGACAAGTTTGCTCGGAACCGCCATCAGTTCTGGTCGATGGGTTCAGAGTTCAGAATAATGTAGGGACCGTAATACGCCGTAATAATTACCTCTGCTGTTTTGGGGGCTCCCTTTTATAGCTATAGTATGATGCAACCCAAACTCTATTCTAATGATCAAGGCCCCCCCATAATAAGCTTGAATGTGTGAGAGTTTGAGGTTCTTCCTTGCATCTTGAGCAGCTAAGTCCTCTCTGTGTGGACGAGAAACCATGCACGAGCTGGCAGAATTCAGAAGAATCAGAGAGTATGTTCGGACAGAGCCCAATATTGCAGCTGTTGTGAATATTTGGTATAAAGCTGTTCATAATATGGTTGCTGACTTTACGTTTTCTGAAATAACGGGCCTTCATGGAGTTTCGGAAGCACGAGGTGTTGAGAGTTCTTGCCGCTTGCGCGGGCGGAGAAGGTCACGAAGGCTTCACTGCCGGAGGATGCCGGCAAGCCGCCCTCAACCCTAAACCCTGCCCCTGCCCCGCGTGCAAGAACTTTGCGAGTCTGCCCGGATCAGCGCGGATTCGTGGAGGACCACCAAATTATATTTTAAATGTTTCCTACAAGTAGGGTTCGTCCGACTTTGCCCTAGCCTGCTGCCTGTAGCTGTGTGTGGCTGGCCTAGCACGAGTCTAGGGCTTACATGGTCTGTGGTGTAAGGTTTGCAGAGACGGATGTAAGTCTTACATGCATGTAGGACTAGCAGTGTGTTCGTCTTGTCCCAAGCCTTGCAAAGTCGTGATTCACGACATCCCGCAGCCCGGTAACATCCAATGAGGGGCATTACTACAAAGAGACCCCCGGACTTTTCAATTAGGGAATATGCGTTAAAGTACAGTAGGGCTCCTGGGTAACAAGGTCTCCCAACTCTGAATAGCCCTAAACAGCCCGAGGCAACCCCAAACAACCCTAAACCCTAAACTTTGATCCCACAACTGTGGGTCTCTCCGACCTTAACTGCTGGGTGGAAAAAGGCGTCCAAAAAATAAACAACTTTGATCTTTCAAGGTCGTGATCCTGGCCGGATACAGCTCGGAGATGGCGCGGTTGTTCCCTGGCTGACCTCAGCTAGGATGCCCGGTAGTACCCTTATTCCCTTTTTGTAGTCCTAGGTTCCTTATAAAGTTACCCAATACCAAAAAGAGAGGCCTGTTTTTCTTAGGTTACTGGGTATCCTAGGAAGCGTGACTAATTACCTCATCGACTAGCGGTGCCATTCCTTTACTTCTAATCCTGACCGGTTGTCTCAGAATCCACTGTGGTTTTCGACCATGCCCTACCCAACCCACGAGACCCGAACGTGAATTATTGGGTTTAGGGTTGAGGACGTCTTATGCTGCAAACAATCGAAATTTTGAAGTCTGCCCTTCCCCGCAAGCCCTTTGAAACACAACAGCCTAGCCGCTAGCCCCAACCATTCCAGCCACTGGACAAAAGGCATGCAAAAGGAACCCGAACATCGGGTGCTATATGCATGTGTACGATGAATGGATGGATGGATGGAGGGAGGGACGGAGGGAGGGAGGGAGGGACAGAGGGACGGATGGACCGATGGACGGATGGACGGATGGACGGATGGATGGACCCAGTTAAGAAGCCCGATGGCGCCTCAACCAACAAGACCTTAAACCCGTTAAGCCCTAAGGAGAAAGCAGTATAATACACCCCAAACCCCTGTTCCAATTAGTAACGTCCCTGTATTGAACTCTTATAGTAACCCTTAGAACCCTAAACCCTCAACCCTAAACCGTGCCTTAGAACCCTCACCATGTAGAACCCTTCAACGGAGCCTTATTCTGGTTATGAAGGCCTTTGAATTCTAGGTTCCCCAGTACCCCTATCTTGGGGTCCTTATAACAAGGATCTGACCATTTTAGGGTGCTATATAAGGGTCCCCGATTTTCGGACACTCCCATCTTAAAAGGAAGAAAGGGACCCTGACTCTCTCAGGGGACACTGGGGAACGCACGATGACAGACTCCCACCCTAAACCCTAAACCCCGAACTCCAGCGCCCCTAACCCCTAACTAAACCCCTAAACCAACCCGAAGCCCAGCCTAGTAGTAGAGTAGGTAACCTTTAACCTTCTTTGGGGTAGTGAAGTCCCTATATAATCCCTAAATAGCCAAAAAGGTTAACCTTTAGTTCCCCATGATAGCCGACAAGTAAGCTAAACCCTAATCCCTAAAGCCCTAAACCCTAAACCCTTTCTGGCACCTTTCTGGAGACAGCACTGCTCGGCTAAGAAGGCAGAACAGCACTTTACAGGCTTCAGCCTAAGGAGAGGGAACGTCAGCCCAAGGGCACACCACCACTTAAGGCAAGGCAAGCCGGAGGGGCTAGAAACTGACAGCATAGCTACAGGGACTCCCCGCATCGCGCAGGTCGCCTCATTGATGTCACCAGCCAGCGAAAGAACCCAACCTGAGAGCGCAAGCACAGTCTGCGTACGGCATGAGCAAACCACGTTCGTAGTTCTCCACAACGACGAAGCCCGAGCTGCAGAAAAGAACCATATGACAGGTATAAAACCACAGGCAGAAGTCAAAAGCAACGTGTCCAATAAGGTGAAACCGCTGCAACGTCCTCGGGGTAGCCCAGCTCAAGCGTCTCCGATGCGCCCGATTGGAACAACAAAGTAGCGAGAGCCCACATAGAGAGGTGTGCAGGACGCCAAGATGCCGCCACCCGCTGATGGAGGAAGGGAGACTTTGCTTCCGGAAGTAATCAGACGAAGTGTAGCCAAAATCCAACTGCCAACCGGCAAAGACGTGCGTAGGCGGCCTGGGCTGCGGCACACTGCTGCACACCATGAACCAAGCGTCCCTGACACCATTTGAGGTCAAACCCCCGTCGTACCAATCATACCACCCAGCGTGTGGACCAACTGCTTGGCCAGGCAGACCCGCTGCCGCTGAACACGTGGGAGGCCCACCTCGAGAAAGACGGAGAAAGCATGCCAAAACATCCAGCAGCGCCGCCCACCAGGCAGCCAAAACAGAGCTCCCGGTCATTCCAGGAATCCAACCATGCCAGACCCACACACCCGGACCTCGGCCTGCACCGCCTCACCGCTGGTAGGTGTCTCGGGCCAGAGGCTAACCCCTAAACCCCTAACCCTTAAACCCTAAACCCCTAAACCCTAAACCCCTAAACCCTAAACCCCTAAATCCTAAACCCCTAAACCCCTAAACCCCTAAACCCCAAACCCTAAACCCTAAACCCCTAAACCCCTAAGGGCCCCTAACCCCTAAACCCTAAGGCCCTCTCAGGATCGAAATAAGGACCCCTAGGTATATACCCTAAATATCGCTATTATACCCCCATTATATAGCCCATTATAGGATAGGGGTCCCCATTAAGGATCCCTCCTTTTCCCCCTTTGAATGACAGACCCTCCCAGGATCGAAGCCAACCCGGGCTTGCGTTCCCGGTTCCCCACGGTGATCGAGTTCGAGGCCGCAGCTGCTTCCGGCCTTTTTTGGGAGCTGAGTTTAGGGCTCAGGATGTAGAGTTTAGGGTTTAGGGTATAGGGTTTGGTGTGCTAGTTTTGGGTTTCAGGTGCAGGTTTAGGATTTAAGGTGCAGGTTTTAGGGTTTAAGGTGCAGGGTTTTAGGTTTTAGAGCAGTTGCGGGGTTTTGTTTCAGGGTTTAGGGTTAAGGTTACTTGGGTTTGAGTATCTGCCCTTCACCTCCTCACCCTACAACCGCAGTCTTCTAAACCTCTGTAAGTTCATCTGACGATGGTTTTGGGAGTCCAGTAGCCTGTCGTACGCTCGTAAGTACTCTGACTGCTTCAGAGTCGTTACTGAAAGAGCATGCCAATCTCAAACATTTCGGACCCTTTTAAAGCACTGTTGAAGCCACCATACAACCTACACCCTAAGCCCCTTAAGCAAACCCTACCGGTAACCGCCATGGAGCATAAACCCGAAACAAACCACCCGAATCGCCTTGGACCACCCGGAAGCTTCGAGTCTTTGGCATCAGCTTTGTGAGGACTACACCTGCGAGGAGCTTCTAGAGATCGCCACGGGGATGCTCCTGCAGGAGTGTTTCGGGGCCTTTTTGGGGAACACGGAGTTTTGGGCCAAAATCTAGGGTTAGGCAGAGGAGTCCCTGCCATGATACATCCGAGAATCTTGCTTGTAACTTAGGTACTGTCCCCCCATACAGTAAGAGTCTATAACGTGGCTACTATTCAGGTTCTAATCTATCTATATTATGAATATTATTCAACTATTACTGTATGGGGGCCGTACCCAACTTGTAGCTTCGTAGGGTGGCATTTGAGGGATGTCATTTCTCAGAAACGAGAGATCTGCTACCTGAAGGCAACCAGACAGACCGCATATGGGTGGTTGTCAAAATCAGGGTCCCTTTATGGGTACCCTAAATGTTAGGTGCCGTATTCTAATAAGGACCCCAAAAGGGACCCTAATATTGGCAACAACCCATATCTTGCAGGGGCCCACAATCAAGGGTTCAAGGTTCACATGAAGGTTCAGGGTTGTAAGCCAGGACTTCCATGTACGGTTTGCAGGCTGACATCTTCTGTTGCAAGACTCGTGCCAGGTGTTCATACGCCATTAAGGCTCTCGGGACTAGTAAGTTAAGACAAAGGCCCCGTGTAGTCGGAAGAACCACGTCCCAGTGACAATAGAAATGCGCATGGTGTACCCTCAACCCTAGACGCTTAACTCATGGTATTCACAGGACGTGATGGTCCTAAACGAGCCGGCGGCCAGCGAGCGTCTTCGGGGCTTGTTGCAAAAGGCACCTTGCGACACGTTGTGGTCTGAAGACATGGCGTCGCGGTGGGGTGGCATGTAGAAACCAGGTGGGTTTGTAGGGTGTTTCCAAGCTCTTCTAGTGATTTTTAAAGCGGTTTCATAGGGTGTCTTTACAAAGGAGGTACCCATCCCACCTCCAGTGTCAGGTGTGGTGCCTGATCTATGTTCATGATGCCTGTTGCCATAGGACCACGATCATCGGATTCTCGTGAGGTGTTATGCATAGAACTTTGCTTTCGCTGGCACGATTGCCTGCGTATTCATCATTCTTGTTGTGATTCTGGTGAAATGTCCCAGTGTCCCCAATCATTACAAGTTAGTATAGCTTCATGTCCAAAGCTATCGCCAAAACAAAGCGTCTTGGTACTTGTACTATTAGCGTCGTATGTTCCATGCCACACCTACAAATAGTTATTACGACTACCAGAGCTTTAGGGTTTAAGGGTTTAGGGCTCAGGGCTAAAGCTTCAGGGCTCAGGGCTTTAGGGCTTAAAGTTTAGGGCTCAGGGCTTTAGGGTTTGGGGCTCGAGGTTTAAGGCTTAGGGCTTTAGTAGGGCCTCAGGGCTCCAGGCTTAGGATAGCTAGCAGCTGGGAGTCCGGGTACGTGAGTGCACCGAAACCCCCCCTAATATAAAAACTAAACCTCCGAAATCCAGTTCTTATATTAGGGGGGGGAGGGGGACCGTTTATATTAGAGGGAAGGGATTAATTCAGCCATGCACAGGTACAGACCATGCTGGCAGAGAAGATTTCCTCAGAGGACAGCAAGGCCCGTGTCAAGGTGGGAAAGGCCACGGGTGGAGTTCTGGGGCGCGAACTTCCCGAGCCTCGATGCACTGAGATCCTGAAGTCTGCCATCTTGTTTGCAAAGCATGCTCTGAGCAACGAGCGGGGCTGGACAGAGTCGGAGATGGAGGACCTGAAGGTGAGCT